GGGGGGGGGCGGTCGAGGGCGGAATAAAAGGGGGGAAGAAAGATGGCTAAGCGTGTCGTGGAAGGAGGCTCGTTTCGGAGGTTCCTCTGCGGCGGGTGGGGCGATCGGCTGGGCATTCCCACGGACTGCGGGGGCCATGTCCCCTTCTCGGGGTGCAATGAGGCGCCTGCGCTTGCGCTGGGGCTTCCGGGCTTTTTCGCGCTCTCCCCCCCGACTGCGGCTCTCTCTCTCCCTCGAGCTCTTTCCGCCTTTCACCCGGCCTCTTCTGTTGTTCCTGCCCTCACACACTTTCCCAGGCGCCTAGCACGCCCTGTTTCGCGCGCGCGCGCGCGCGCGCGCGACAGTCCAACGCTGTTGTTGGGCCGCGACTGCCAATGGTCCCGTGGGGGTGGCGTCGGCCCGCGGGGCCCACCGGCCCAGCAGGGAAGGGCAGGACCGGCGGGAGCGTGGGGGGGGGGAGAATCCGTGGGCGCCAGCACGCTTACGCGCGCAGGTGCAAGGCTGGCGGCCCCTTGGAGCCAATCCTCAAAGGCCGGGCGGAGCGCGACCACTCGACCGGGGCGTCTTGAGGATCGGCCAGCCGGGTAGGATGCGGCATTGAGGATGAGCCGCCGGTGGGCTCTCGGGCGCGCCAAACACGCACGACCAGGACCGTATCACCTTCGGGACGCCAGTCGGGCCCGTTCTTTTAGGATCTCCGTCGGGACATGTGCGTCAAGCAAACAACAGGGAGAGGGGGGGGGGGCGGGCGAGAGAAAGAAGACGACGCGGAGGGCCACATTGAGCGGGGCCGGGGATCGAGGGGGGGGAGGCGGGAGGACCAACGAAAGAGGCCCCATCGCGGTGTGCGGGGAGCGGAAAGCGCGCTGGGGTCTTGCCAGCTCCGTATACGGCCCCGGTGCGGCTGTCTTCCCGGGGGTGGGTGCCGCGGGAGCGTTGGTGCCGGGACCTGGGCAGTGCATCCATTGTATGGCGGCCGGCGGGGGGGGGGGGGGGGGGATGCTTTCTCAGAACGCAGAGCCTCCTCGTGGGGGTGGGCCGGGCACGAGGCGGGGCGTTCTCCTTCTCCCGCGCGAGCGTGTACACACGCTCGCGCGCAGGGGCACACGTCGTGGGATGTGCCCGGGGCCAGGCGGGAAAGCGTGCGTGTGTGTGTGTGTGTACATTTGTCCGGGCGCGTCGGCCCGCCTGCTCGCCCCGCGCGGACATCACTCGAGGAGCGGAGGGCCAGGGGGAGGGGGGGGGGGGCGCGGGGTGCATTCAATCCTAAACGAACGGATGCGCACGTCTCCCGTGGCAAAGCGTCAGCGTGCCGCACCGGCGGCGGCGGCCCCGGGGATCCTCAATTGCCCAACTTGTGCACCGGGGAGTCTGCGCGGCATGTGTGCGCGTGTCTTCCCTGCAGGGGGGATGACGCGGGCAGCCTGGTCAACCGAAGATACCGGCCCCGAGGGGCGTCGCCCGGCTGGGTCCCGGGCCCGCCGCAAGCATGTCAGTCCCGGCTGCGGCGGGGGTGCCTCGCTGCCCCCCTCCCGGCGGCCGCCGGCCCGCCGCGTTTTCCCCGCGCACGCGTGCTGAGGTACACAGGTGGCCGCCACCCACGTCGGCCCGGGCGCGCTGGCCGGACGCCGGTGGGGACGCCTCCGAGGGTGTCATATTGTGCCTGGAGGCCCCTCTGCCTATTGTTTCCGGAAAAGTCGGCCCCGGCCCCGGCCGACAGACCCCCAGCCCGGGGGCGGTGCAGGTGGTGTGGCGCGTGCACCATGCGCGGGGCGTGGGCCGGGGGCCGGGGGGAGGTGGGGGAAGGGGGGGAGGGGGG